CTCTCTCCACTGCTCTTGGCAGAAGTTTCTCTCACCTCATGACCTCTGAGTCTGCGATTAAAGGGCTGTAACTGTGAAAATCACTTTGAGATCTCTGTCTGCTCCACACGTGATTGACCACACAGCTTTTACCCGAATAAACCTGCTCTAAGTCCTGTAAATGTTTGAGTTTGGATGGAGATCAGTGTCGAGAAGCGCTGATAACGTGAGACGGCGTATCTGTTCAGCAGATGCACTGCAGACAGCGCCAGGGTTTGGGTGGTCTGTGTCTCGTTAACCGATTACACCGGCGTTAAAGGCAAAACATATTTTACGACTTGTTTCATGATTTCAAGATTGATGGAGGGGTGGGCAAAGATGAATGGATATGTATTTATTTGTTGTCATTTATCTCTGGATGTGGAGAGTCTTTGTCTTCTAGTGTCTGGTGTTGGCCATATGCAGAACATCTGGCATTTCTGATCTGCCTCGATACTTCTGTGGCTTCGTTCATATCGACGTAAAACATGATGATGTTGGCATCAGTTTGTGCTGCTGATTCGTGTTTCGGATCGTGAAGACGCTGCTGCTCAGTAACTGAGGCTGGTTTCGTCTCCTCACGCTTTAATTGCTCTGAGAGGCGTTGAAGCGTGTGTGAGCGTGCAGATGCGGTGATACAGAGTCACGCCTGATGTTTGCAGACTCTCTCTCTTCTGTAGCGTCCGCTAGACAAACAGCCTCTCGGCGATAATGTATTTGTAGTTAGTCATTATGTTTCTCAGTACTGTGATCTCACCTGTCCTTGGGCTGAACGCAGTTGATGTTTAAGCCCTGATTCTCTGCTTGATCACGTAACAGTCTTTTCTTCCTGATGTCTGTCTGTTATAACAGCCTGCCGTCTCCAAGATCCTGGTGGAGGAAATGATTTCTTCTGCTGTGTGGAGAGACTAAGAACTAAAGCGGTGTTCGTCTGTAATGCGATGTGCCTGTCTTTCATTTGATGTCTTTGTGTGTTGAAGAACGGGCAGAAGAGATTGACTGAACAACAACACAGATAATGGGGAGTGTTTCCTCTCCCTTTTAAAACTTAAGTTTATTTTGTCACTGTAACTATACAATGTTAAATTGCAATTTGTTTTTTTATTATAAAGTGCTACAGCCATGCCTACCGTAGGTCCCGAGATTTTCCTGTGTTTTCAATTCATGAGTAAAATAATGTCTGTGGTAAACATCTCTTGGACGTTTTGCTGTACAGCGTTAACGGCTCACATTCAAACCCCAAACGTGCTAATGTGGTTACTTAAAAACTAGTGCTGTCAAACGATTAATCGCATCCAAAATAAAAGTTTTTCTTTACACAATATATGTGTGCATGCTGTGTATATTTATTATGTATATACAAACACATGCATGTATATATTTAAATGTTATGTTTATATATTAAATATATTTATATAAAATATAAGAATATAAATGTATATACATGTAAATATTTTCAAAATATATGCTGTATGTGTGTGTGTTTATATATGTGGGTCAAAGACGTTAAAATGTGCGCATCAAAAGAAATTTACAAAAGGGATTTTATGTCCATAGAAAGCACATTAAATGTAAGTAAAGTGTCTACTTTTAAGGTTTCAAATAAGTTTTTGAAGAATAAAATGTTACAATTTGGTTGAAATAATGTTACATTGTCGTTCAGTGTAACACAATATTTATGTAAAAATTCAAACATGCTTATTCTGACGTGTACATATTAAAATATATAAAAGCATAAGTGAGCATATTAAATTTGATTGTGTTTTAAATGAGTAAAAAAAATCTTACTGACAAATGGGCGAAACCTAGGATAGTTGCAAATTTAAAAAATGTAAAATTGCAACTAATTAGTGTTTGGGGTGAAAGTAATTAGTCGTTTAATATGTCCTAAATTGATTTTTGTTGTAAATATGCCTGACAATATTGTTACACTGAATGACGTTTTAGTGGCTCTCTTCTGTAAATCAGGGACAAATGTGTGATACTTATTTTTTGCTCAGAAAAACAAAAACAAAATTGCAATTAAATTAAACCGAAAATTTGTAAAACTTTTTTTGGGGGAAACACAACAACAATTTAAAGCAGTATTGCACTTATTGTTTTTATGCTTAAACCCTTTTTCGTCTTTGACCCAAATACATCATAAATATACACAGTACACACACACATATATCATGTAAACAAAAACTTTTATTTTGGATGCGATTAATCGTTTGACAGCACTATTACAAACATATATATTTGCTTCAAAACTTGTGTTTTCAGTATGGGTGTGTGTAATTTATGTTGAAAAGCAAAACATCCAAGTTTCATCAATTAATATTTACCACAGACCGTATTATCAAATGAGTCTTCTGGACTTTGTCACAGCTCTCTGTTTGCATTTTGAGTTTTGCTTTTTTGTTTTTTTTCCCTGTAATCAAACATTGTTTTTGTGTGTGTGCGTAGGGACAGAATTTGTGCTGCTTTTCCTGATGCAAGCTATATATCATGTAAACAAAAACTTTTATTTTGGATGCGATTAATCGTTTGACAGCACTATTACAAACATATATTTGCTTCAAAACTTGTGTTTTCAGTATGCGTGTGTGTAATTTATGTTGAAAAGCAAAACATCCAAGTTTCCAAGTCTTCTGGACTTTGTCACAGCTCTCTGTTTGCATTTTGAGTTTTGCTTTTTTGTTTTTTTTTCCTGATGCAAGCTGAGCCGTGTGTGTGTGTGTGTGTGTGTGTGTGTGTGTGTGGTTCTGTAACTGCAGTGAAACTGAGGTGAGGTTAACGTTTCACATGTGCTCCTGGGAGCGGAGAGCGGCGCGGGATCAGGGTCCGTGAGGCAGAGGTGGAGCAGGGCTAGTTTGGCGCTGAGCCATGTGTGTGTGTGTGTGTGTGTGTGTGTGTGTGTGTGTGTGTGTGTGTGTGTAGTTCTGTAACTGCAGTGAAACTGAGGTGAGGTTAACGTTTCACATGCGCTCCTGGGAGCGGAGAGCGGCGCGGGATCAGGGTCCGTGAGGCAGAGGTGGAGCAGGGCTAGTTTGCCGCTCTCTCTCGTCTGACTGGCGGGGTTTCCCGCTGTCTTTTACACACGCTCTGCTCACATGCCGCTCTGACTCATGCTGTGTGTGTCCTGAAACTCGATGTTGTTTGTCCCGCGCCGGATCCCGCCACACGCCTTCCCGCCTCCTCTGCTCTGATTCCGGCTGGATTAGAGTGTCTCCGCCTCTCGTCGACTGTCGCTGTCCGCCTCGTTAATCTGTTTGATATGAGTCATTGTGTTTTGTCAAACGCTGACTCGCACACGTCCACACTGTTGTATAATACATGGCTGGTGGCTCATAGCATTGGCTGTCATGCACCGCTCTGTTTTCTGCCTGAGCAACAGCTGTGATCTGGAACCGGTTCTAGGTGTGTCGTGTGTGCGGCGGGAGTTTGTTTCCCCCGGGGGATGAAACATGAGCAGATGTGTGTCATTAGTTCTGTTGAAACACTTTGTTTACCTGCCATAATGTGGACAGACAGCTTTAGGTGAGCTATTTCTAGGGTTCTCTAAGCCATCTGTTAACGGACGCAGGTTTTTACCTCCCAACTTAATAAAACGGGCTGTCTGACTGAGAAATGATTACTTCAAAATGTACATCAGCATGCAGGTTCAAAGGACTTCCATACACCTCTTTTGCTATTGTTCACGTGCCAGTGATCATCTCTCCGTAGGCTGCTGACCTCTGCTTTAAAACCGAGATCTGTCTGTGCTGAGGAGGTCAGTCATACCTGGACAGTGATGTCTGTCAGCGACTGGAATGTGACGTGTTATGTCGACATTGATTGGCTGGTGACATCACAGCAAATATGACATCGCAGTCAGGACACACACTGATAGAGAGCCTCCAGAACACAATCAGACACTGATAAACATCTGCAAGAATATGAAACAATAAGAGGTTGTTTTATATTGAATATAGTCACTTCTAAAGTGACACAGAGGAGTGACACACTGATATATATATATATAGCAACCTCGGGTTTCCAAAGCAGTAGATTTTGACCCCTTGATTTGAGCAGTCTGACACATCAACATTGACTCAGCCAATGGTGTGGGGTTGGGGGTCGGGATTATGTGTTTGTCTGGCCAATGGCTAACAGAAAGTGTGATCAGGAAATGTTTGCAGTTCACTTTAGTGACTCTAGTGGTGCTGAAATCACACTCCGCTTTGACACGCTCGGAAGTTTCTCTCTCTTCAACTTTTCCTCAGGTTACTTGTCCAATTGTTGAACTTGTGTCATCCGTCAGTTGTAACTGGAATAACTTGATGTGTGTTATCTCTGTCTCCGAGATACATAAACAGTCATTTCATAGTAATGTAGTGAGCTGTTTATACCCACTGACAGCACTGTCACTCACCTGAGCGTGTGATCTTTCTAGAAATATAACCAAACCTGTCCATACAGAAGACATCTGTACTCTAGAAATGGCTTATAAGACTGTATCTTAATGACAGCCACTGAAGGATACATTTAACTTGATTAAATTGTCATCACATGGCTAATAGATGTAGTGTTGAAAATGAAAACAGTCAGTATTGTGTGTGTCTGTGATTAGCAGATGGTTGATAGTTAGTGTGATTCTCTTCACCTGTCGTTCATCTGATAGGGCACCTGTACATATGCGTATATATCGTGTACAGTATATACATATACACATTGACAGGCTCATGAAACATCAAAACTAAATCTTTGAGGGACGTTGATTTAGCGGATCTTACACAGCCTTCAGCAGTTGTTTAGAAAGAGATAAATGACACTGATCACTGTGTGTTTACATGAGAGAGTGCACTAGACATCTTCACACATCAGCTGCTGCTGCCGTGTCCCAGCAAGTTCAGCAAATGTGGGCCTGACAAAAACAGGAGTAGATAAAGAATGGCTCATTAACTGTGGGCAGTAATGAAGCCTCCATTTGAAAGCAGCAGCTACTACTTCGCTTTCAGTGATCAGTTTAGCACAGAAGAGATTGTGCAATGCTGGAACTGACCTGATGGTCAGAGACGCCCACAGCGATGATGACTGCTGGACCTTCACTGGACCCATCAAGAGCTTTGCCAGAGAAAACCTTATGTTTTCTGATTTGTTTGAAAGGTTTGTTTTATCTTGGTGTGCCTCAAGGCTCTAGCATTGGACCCGCTGTAGTTTGAGATTGAAGTTGGCTTTTCTTTGATTATTCTTTACTAGCGGTTGAGTTTGTTTGTTTGTTTTGCTGCCCGTCACGTCACAGACTGCGCTGTTGAGGAAATTCCTTTGAACTGTAGTTAGTGAGTTCAAAAACAAACAAACAAACAAAAGTGCCTAGCCGCAATACAAGTTACTCACACACCGTAACTAACTACATAGAACATTAAAGTTAACTGTGAGGGAGCTGTATCTCATTGTAATTTAAAGTTTGTTTATTATTTGACTGGTTAGTTAGTAGATTACACACTAAACTATAACAGTGAGTTGAAAACAGTGATGGGTATGGTTGCAGCATGCGAGCGTATGACATGAGCCTGCAGGTGTGACACAGCACAGTGTGTCGCGCGAGAGATTTTCTGGATGCCAGAAAGAAATGTCAACAGATGTTCAGAGGACAAATATTCAAATAAACAATTGTGTTTGAATAGCAGGTATTTTCTGACAACAAAGTGTCTTTGATTAAGTTAACATCTAAACTGCTGAAATAAATTACATGGAAAAAACCTTTAGAGCAAAATGCTGCTTATGTAAATGTGTGTAATTGGGCCACATCTCTTTTTATCCGTGCTGTAATGAGATGTTTGTGAATTGTATGAAAACAGAGGTTTCATGCAGGTTTATGTAGCTTATAAAAAAGCAGAGCTGATCTTCAGCAATGCAGTGCAGGATCAGAGTTCACTGTTTTCATAATGGTTTGGTCGCAGTGTCATTGCACCATTAACTAGAGCTGAGAGGAAGAGATAATTCAGGATGCTGTGACATGCATCAGAATAAGAAACAAGTGCATTTAATGGATAACATTGTCACAGCACCACAAAAAGCAGAAGAAAGTTCAGGTTTCATATTTAACTGAGAGACGACTGTGGTCTTAGCACGTTTCTGGCACCGGCCCATTTTAAAAGTCCAGGCAACCTATTAAAACAAACATATCAGATATTGCGTCTATGGTCGAGTGTTTTCTTTGCGTCTGTTTTGTTATTGAAAGCATGCAGTGAGTAACACATGTTGGTGCACAGGAGCAGATGAGACTCCTCACAGAGAGAGTGAAGTCTAAAGGCTGTTATTGAGGTCTTTCTTACGTTTAGCATGTCAGAACAACGGTGAAACTCGATCCCACGTGTCACACACGCTTCATGAGCACAGGTGAGTAAACAGCAGTACGCAAAAGAAACACACAGAGAGCTGTGACACATGCGGTGACCTCCTTCACAGCCCTTTTATTCCCTGAGCGCAGAGGGCCACGTTTGTGTTCGGCGCTTTCATCCTGAAAAAAGCCGTGGATCATAGCTTTCAGATCAGCGACCGCTCTGAGAAATCAACACATCTTTTGAGTCGCTTGCTTTATATTCAGTTCATAGCTGCGTCACTTGAGCATTAAAAGACATTGAGTTCAAAGTGGTTGTTCTCTGTATTGCAGCATGATGTGTTGACTAAGCATGTAATTGCAGGTGGAATTCCCAGATTTTTCTTCTGCTTCATGTAATGGATATCACATGAGAACTCCAGGTTGCATGAAGAGTTGTTTTGCATATTCAGAATTGCTGACATTGGATTGGCTGTCATGACTTTGAAAGGGATTTGTTGGAAGCAAAATGGCTGAAATGTGAGATGTGTTAAAGGGCTGACAGATTTCAGTGAGAATTGAGCCACTTGGGTTTCCACTGTGGGACTGATAACAGAGCTCCTAATACAAACGCGTCAGTCGATGATGCCGTGGTAATGCAAGTGTTTACACAGGGTATGAGATGTAAACAGCGGATGCGTTATGGAGGATGATCAGATATTTGTTTATTTAGATCAGTTAGCATGCTTGGCCAGCTACAGAGAGAAACTAGTAGCCAGACAACAAACAGGTGACCGATCCTGAGTGTCGACGTCACTGCACACATGCTTCCGGCATGGTTAGCCAACTAAAACATAAATAGCTGAGAAAATGTAAAAACATAAATGAATAAGGCGACTTGATGCAGTAATAATTGAGTTGTCTGAACTATAGTTTTTTAGTTCTTCTCAATAAAGATACTTGTTTAGCCAATGTAAATTTGTTTGTCCATGTAATGCTGATTGTCTTATTTTGCTAGTAGAAATATTCTTGTCACAGCAACTGAAACAACAATTACTTTTGTTGAGGTTTTTTTTTTTGTCTGTTTCCTGGAAGAACAAAAAAGAATGCACCACATTATGATTTTTTACATCTATTTACGAATTACAAACATTTCTTTATCAGTTTATTTCAGCTGTAAGCACATAAGCAAATTGTAATGATTGTATCGAGAACATAGTAAAATGTTATAGAAACCTTAATGGATAACTTAGTCTCATATATAGACAATGCTATCTTTGTTTTATATAAATGTTTGTATACAATAAGATATCCAGGTTACAGATTTACGTGGTTGAACATACTCTTGGCCTCAATACTTGACACACTAACCTCAAGAACGGAGGAAATCAACAAATGTAAAAAAGATGAGCTCTTTACATCAGAGCACAACAAATAACTAACAATAATGACAAAACCGCAACAAATTTTTTTTAAAGGAGGTCAACAAAACAATACTTAAAAAGCAACTGTGTAATTTATTCATTCTGCAATGCATGCTGGGAACTCGCACAGCCTTAACGTTTCAGTAATAAGAAATTCTTTGTTCAGACGACAGTGTTGGACTAGTTAGGACAGCATTTGGGGTAATTCTGTTGGTCTGACAAGGGTTGTTATGTAGTTTCAAGAAAACTGCATTTCTTAGTATTTGAGACACAAAAGGTTTCGTAAACTAGAAGGTAAGCAGTTGCATTTCTTACAGTGTGAAAATTCCAGGCCGAGAACGGTTCCTAACCGCGACGTGTCGAGCTCAAGTGGACACATAACTGGAACCGTTCGGCCCAGCGGTGGAAAAGTGGCTTTGGGGAGTGAATAAGAGTCAGTGTGAGTTTTTGTCTCATGAACTAAAAACACAAACTTACTGCTGGCAGATATTTTATTTTATGAATGCCTCAGTCCTGATTCCATAGGCCTTTCCAATTGAAGTTGAGTAATTTAGCATGAAAAAGTGCATAGGAAACTCCAGTTAGCCTCAAAGTGATCCGTCAGAAGGCCAGATCTGGCTTGAACTCTCTTCGTCATCTTTACATGATTTAGTTAATCTCACCCTGCTCCTCTGTGAGTCACTGTTAGCATTTCTTTTCCAGTATGAAAGTTCCTGTGGCCTTTGGACTTGGTCTAATTGCTGTAAAGTTCAATGATAAACCAAATTGACATTTCATTTACATTTCATACTGTGAGGCCTCGCCGTGCCGCGGCCCCCGGGGCCCCGTATCTGTTTCTCTGGTCCCCACGCTCGGCTCCTGCCGCGGGAAATGCGGGGTCACGTAGGAGCTCATCTCCTGCATTTAATTCACGTTATGGTGGGCCAGACACGACCCCGCCGCATACTAATCAGGCAGCAGGTAGAGGTCTGGCGTCTCCAGACTTTAGAAAGGACATACAGCTAATGACGTCCTGTGGGAAGATCTGCCCTTTGTGGACGGATCGTCCTACACTCACCTTCCTCTGGGTGTTTTCTTAAAAGTGTTCTTGCGCTCCATCCGACAGTGTTAGAGCAGAAATGTGCTGCGGTGGCAGAGAGAATGATCAAACACGGAGCACAGGAGATGCAGCAGCACACACCCCAGGGAAATAGCCTGCCATAATTGAAAGCCAGGCTATGCTGAAGATGAATTTAATGATTTCATATTTACAGACAGGCTTTGCTTTTTATTCCATTTGCATTTATTCCATCGTGCCTGCAAATGTACGTTATATATAATTTTCCTCTGTGCGTGTGATTTTCATGGGTCCACGGGTCAGTTGATTCTGTGTGATTGGAAAGGTTGCAAAGATCACCGCGAGAGCGAGTTTTGATTATTCTTCACACGTGGATTCCCTGCCTGTTTAAAGCAAACCGACAGTGTTTAGTTGGGAGTCTGTTATCTCTTGGGTGCTTTTAGGGAGCCGTCTGAGTGTGGTTTCAGCTGTTTGCGTGATTGCGGATGAGGTTCTGGTTTGTGTGGAGCTCATTTGCTGAAGGTGCTCAGGAGTTGATCTGGAGGTTCTGCTGTTTGTTCAGTTTTTGTTGCAGCGGTTTGTTTAAGCTTGCTTGTGCTCCGTGACGTCTTTGAAGCTGGACCTGAAAACCTCCTGCCTCTGAGGAAGGAGCTCTCCGATTCCCTGCTGTTGTTTCGGTGGTGTTTACGGGCCGCTGGCACAGACCTTCAGCGCATCACAGCTTCACCGTTCCCTCAGGCGGATCTCTCTCTGGTTCTGGCTGTGTTTGCCCAGCGAGGGTCTGGCTCCTCCAGGTGGTGCAGCAGTCGAGCCAGTAGTCTTTCACCTGCTCCACCAGCTCTCCACCTGCAGGACTGAGCATGCCAAGGTGTTTCTGGAAGTCGTCCCTGTCTTCTGACCAGAGATCGGTTAACACCAGACTGATGCTAAATCAGCATGAAATGGCACGTGTGCACCAGACACGTCACGTCTCCGCTCTTCTCCGTGCTCCAGCTCTCCACGGCCCGTGGCTCATCTGCGGCTGGGCCGACCCGTCTCTGTTGACAGGCCATCTGCTGGGCCAACCGTGCTGATCCGGACCCCTCAGCCGCCAGGCCCGATTGAGCGCTGCTGGGAGGCCTGTGCTTTTGGGTTTAGCTGTTCTGTAACTCTTGTGCTGTGCGGAGAATCCTTTACCTAATTTGGTGTTCCTGGTCAAAAATAACCGGCCTTTTAAAAATTGCTTGTAAATCTCTCATTGGTCTATATTATCACAAAATCTTGGATTGAGTCTTTTTGTCAGCTTGTTTTCTTTCAACTTTTGGCAATTTTGGCAGTGTTCACTCAAAAACTGAGGTGCATATGTTCAGGCTTATGATCAAACAGTTTAAAAATAAATACAAAACCTGCGCTAATTAAAAGAAAACAAGTTGACGAAGATTGAATCCAGTAATAATATAGCATAAGGAGAGGTTTACAAATGTGTGTTTGTTTGTAGGGAATACCTCAAGTGTAACAAGATGGGGAAAAATCCCAGAAAAGTACAGAAATGATCAAATTGTCTATTTATTCCCTCCTCAGACCTCGGAAATTAAACCCAGTATCCAATTGTGCTCATGAATATGTACTTTACATACTACTAAGTGCCTCAAACAAAACAATGTTTTGTTCCTGAATGTTCTTCCTCGCTATATCAGCCCAAAACCTGCATGACATTGCTTCAGGACAGACTGCTCAAACCAGATTATATTGATTCAGATTCACTGACTGGATCCAGTGTGTGCATGATGGGACGCTTCTGCTGGAGGTCAGTTGTAGTGAGACAAGAACTTACTTATGGCAAGTTACAAGTCTCACCTAGATGTCACCGTATGTCAAAGCAGAGACCTAAGTGATATCCAAAACCAGGTTTTCTGTTATTGTAAGGTAGAAGGTTCCATACTTTCTGTGCAGATGTCTAACTTTCCTCGTCATGCAGTAAAACCCTTTAATCAGCGAGTGAGAACTCGTGCCTTTAAGGTGTGTGTTCAAATCTCACCCCCATTTTAAAGCATTGACATTAGAGCGTGAAGTTTGAGGGCGAGAGCCGTTTGAACCTGGATCTCTTTTACGAGCCCTGAGGAGCTCCTGAAGTCACAGAGGAATCTGCTGTGGAGCACCTGCAGGGCAGAGAAAGAAGAAACAAGCACATGCCTCGTTTACAGAGGAACGAGACACCGATGAGATCGCTGCATCTCCAGCGGCGTGTTGATGAGCGTGAGGGACGAGAGGCGCTCCTTTGAGGATCGTTTCTAACAGTGGCTTCACTTTCCAAGACTCTGTGTGAATGTGTGAGAGCACTTGCACACTTCTCCATGTGTGTTCAGGTGTGTTAACGGCTTCTCTAACAATAGGTGCTTGTGTGTGTGTGTGTGTGTGTGTGTGTGTGTGTGTGTTTGGAGTGTGAAATCCATTTGTTGTACAACGATTGCTTTTCTCTTGCATCAAATGAGCCAAAAAGGCCTCCAGTAACAGGTGGTGTGTGTGTCAGTTACACAGCTCCTCCGAGTGGAAACTGGATCTCCAGGCATGAATCTGACTCTTTAGTGTTAGCAGGTGTTCTACGGCTCCAGAACAGATCTCAGGAAAACTGCAGGAGCGTGTCGATCTGGAGCGATGCACCTTCATCTCATTTCACCTGCGCTAGTGCTCAGAAGGCAGATCATCAGTAGTTTGTGGGTTTGTAGTATAGAGGATCTGCACTGAACGCTGGCATCCTGGTGCACATTTCTGCTCAAACAAACCCCACATACAGTACGTTATAATCAAATCTAGATGTTTATTACTCCTGAATTAGGTTGTGGCGAGAAGCATTGTGGTGTTGTGTGAGGAGGAACGGCCGGCTCCACACTCTTATTATGTTGAAGAACTACGAGTGATTTGGCATCATTACATGCCCTCTGACTTCTCTTGTACTTTCTTTTCTTATCTCTTCCCTTTGATTCGCGTCAGCTGCTTCTCGTGTTTCTGTCCAGACATCATCTGTTTGGTTTGCTGTGCAGTCAGAGCCTCACATTCAATCTTGTTTATGTTTTGTATTAATACTGAAGCTCATAACTAATAGGAGCGTGTGCCATTAGTGAGCGGCTCAGTGATCGATCCGGATGCATTAATGAAAGCTTCAGTGTGACACAGCTATAGCTGGAAATGTCATGGATAAAGCTTTTGTTTGTTGTTTCTGAACCATCATCAGACCAGATTCAAAGTCTGCTTGAACCTTCAGCCCTTAAATAACGTAAGATAATGATGAAGTAGTCTCACACTGGTTATTGCAGCTTGTCCGTTGATCTGTGATGTTTCTAAAAGTGAAGTCAGGTTTATTTATTTGTTAATGATGCACACATACTGAACATCCCATGAGTCATTAGTGGACACTATATTTCAGGCTCATTCTGAGCTCTCTGTGTAACGTGATCATGTAGACGAGTTCAGTTTAACAGTTTCTCATGTTTGTGTGGAATAGCTTGAACACTGAAGCCTGTGTCATATTCTGCTGCATGTTATTCACATTTTCATAAATTCCAGTAAATGATTAAATATCGAGACTGTTTGCATTTAGTCTCTGATAGTATTTATTGTATTTTGGGAGTGAAGACCTTCCATCACTGCTAGCTGGAAGACACTGACACAGCTGACCTCAGATCATCTCATGATCCAGCT